AATGGTTCTTGCATGTGGAAAGGTCAGGACGACAGTGGATGATGTCTGAGGGCCTCTCTATAGGCCACATGGCCGGCCAGTCCAGCATCCCGTTAGCCCACATCGCTTATGTGCACTGGGTCCTCTCCTGGGCTAATCAGCAGGGCTAATCCTGGCGATCCGTGCAACAAGTGTTTAACTTGTGGGAAAAGAGCACAGGGCTGCCTGGGCGCCCGTGTTGGCACAGAGCTTCTCCCTGCACCCAGTAAGATGTCCAGAGTCACCACACCCACGAAGTAAATGAAATGGACAGAAGCCAGAGTCTCTAAGTGTCGCTGAGGGTCCTGCATCAGGTTTCTTGGTGCACTTCCAGTTCCGGCCAGAGCTACCCTCACTGAGCTGCTAAAGTGTTCTCATGTCAACCCGAGTTCACTGGGCGATTGAGGGCCTCAGTAACCCTGAGCCGCTTACGCTGCTCCCCCAGCCCCCGATATCCAAGGGTGAAACCACAGCACAGTACTAGTGGCTGCACTGATTGTTCTTCCGTCTTTGCACGTCTCATTGACATGGGACCTCCAGAGGCGACACCCCAACTTCAGAGGATGTCCAGGCTCTTGATCTAAGGCAACCAGGAATCTGACATTTTCCTTACTTACTGGCACTTTGGGCTTTCCAGGAATTAATTCTTAGCCTTCGATAGAAATGGTTTTCTCCTGAGACTATCAGAGTGCCCATACCTTAGGGCATTGCATCACCTTGTGGTCATGACAGGAACTGCAACCTTCTCAGAGCCCCAATCTACCTGAAACCAGAGGGAAAGTCTGCTAGAAGGCAACCCCTCACAAAGCTGGTCAGCTGACTTTCAGAGCAGGGACAACCTGGGGCCTCTCAGTTTCGCTGCTGTGGCTGAAGAAGGGATGCTCCGTAGGAAAAGGGCCTGAGTTCTTCTCTGCTCACAGTTTCCTCTGCACTTTCAGTGTTTCCCTTCCACCTGGCCATGGAGCGTTGGTCCAGGGACGGCTGACTACGCTACCCACATGCCACTTTCTGTGGGCTGCGAGGGATCAGTAGATCCTCCAGCTCATTCTGCCACAAGAGCAGTGCCTTTACTATTTCTGCTAAGCTCACCGTCCTTACGCCAGAATATAAGCAACACAACGCTGGGCAGCACACACAACTCAAAATGAGCTGCTCCTGCAACCTGGGAGTAACGCTGACTTGGGGGATGATTAAATGAAAGGCTGCATTTAACTCTGACTAAACATGTAAATACAGCGGTTATCAGAAAATACTTCTCATTAAGGCACAACACTTGTCTTGCCTATGCAATGCAACTCACACTTTGAACTTCTCTACGTAAACGGATCCACAAGAGTTATCAGCGAGCGCTGCAGGAGGTCAGAAAGATTAATAATCCCGAGTGCAGGGAAGGCTTTTCCTGCTGGGCTGGCAGCTCACACAAGGTCTGTTAAAACAGCTCCATGTTCCATCACCTTCAGCAACTTCACAACTGTTCTTCCAGGTGCGACAGGCATGACCAACTTTACGACTCAGCAGGTGATGGGACACAAAATGGCTTCCTTAGGTTCTCAGAGCAGCGTCGCTAAGGCTGGATCACGGCACCTGGGTTTGCTATGCATCATGAGGAGCAGGTGCTTCCAAACTTTTGTAATAACAAGCTAGAGTATAAAATGCCCTCCACAGCATCCGCTCACATGTAAGTACACAGCGGAAATGGAAACCCGAGAGGTCAATGCTGACCCTCATCTAGCACATTCTCTCTTGTCTTGTTAGGTAAAGAGCGTTGTTCATCTCTCATTAGGTTGAGTCACAGCCTACTCATGAGTCAAAACTCCCATGTTGGAAGGATCTTGTCTAAAAATTTCTCAAACAACCTCCACTAGATATGTGACCACTGCAAAGACCGAGAGTTCAAATGCATACTAAGAATCTAAAAGATTGAACACCAAAATAACATGAACTCCACCAACAAGAACAGATGTGCTTAGGCAAATTAATTACTCTTCAGTTTGGCAACTCTGACACTTGGTAGTCAGTTCTCAGCACTAATGACTGCAGATATCTGGACCCCGCAGGCAGACAGGTGACTGAATCACAGAGCCGACTCTTCATCCTCACCACACCTTCTGGCTGTGCACAGATATGCTTTGGAACGTTCCTTTTCCCACTGTCTCAGAGGTATTGCTGAGCTTGGCTATGAATGCACACATCTTGCATTGGAGTTCCTGTAATGATCTTCATGAGAGGGATCTTGGCAGCAGGTGGGTCCAAACAACAGCAGGTGAGAGCCCATGCTGAAGTCAGTTGGTTTAATGAGATAAAGGGAGTGAAGGGAAAGGAGAGAGGAGGAAGAGGAAGAGGAAGAGGAGGAGGAAGAGAAGGAGGAGGAAGAGGAAGATGAGAAAGAAGAGGAGGAAGAAGAGGAAGAGGAGGAGGAATAAGAGGAGAAGGAGAAGAAAAAGAAGAAGAAAAGGAGGAGGAGGAAGAGGAAGAAGAAGAAGAGAAAGAGGAAGAGGAAGAAGAAGAAAAGAAGAAGAGGAAGGCAGTCTGCCACACACACAGCTGAGGCACTCTGCCAGGTTCTCATGGGGCAGGGCCAAGGTGCACCTTGAGGCCCAGGGGGGTACAATTTCTGGAGCCCACTCCCTGGATGCTTTGTGTAAATGCTGATCTATATTTTAAGGTCACCACTTGGTTGATGACAGAACAGTACTTTTTTTGCAGAAACCATTCTACCTAGCCATTTGGTTCAGAAAGAAGGGGTATGTGACAGAAAAAGTGGCATTGCAAGAAGTTAAATTAATTCTGCAGAGACCTTTTGAAACACGGTTTGAAATGTAAAAGACCTGAATGACAGCGCTTGCATCCTGCAGCATCTGAACTGCTTTTGTCTCTCCAAGAGTCTAGCCTTTTCATGCATCAACCTCTGCACCCAGCTCTCCACCTTTCAACGAAGCAGCTGTTCCCTGCCTCCAGGCTGTCCAGCATTTTGCCTGGTGATGCTCAATGAATACCAGTTCACCCAGTAAACAAAAAGATGGATAGTAGGTGTCCTGTTTTCTTGCTATTTTTTACTAATCAAAATAATCTTGAGTACAAAGGCCAAGGCAGTAAAACATTAGCGACTATCAGTTCCCTCATTTCTGGGGAAGGCTGAGCCCGGAGGAAGCAAACACCAAGAATAAGCAGTTCTAAGGACCCATCAGTCTACCACCTGGCATTCTGTGAAGGAAGCCTATGCCCTTCAAATGAATGTTATTTATTTGCATGTGGATGGGTGTGTGCATGCCATGGTGGAGGTCAGAGGACAACCTGGTGTCAGTCCCTGCCTCCCATCATGTTTAGACACCAGGGTCTCTTGTTTACTGCTGTCTACAGCAGAGAAGCTGGCCTTTGAGGTTCTGGCGAATTATCCCACTTGCTGTCGGACCACGGAAATTATGGATCTTCACGTTAGTTAGTTCTGAAGATCTGAACTCCGGTCCACGTTTGCACGATGACATTTTGCCCACTTTGTGATAGGGCTTCCTCCTCTTTTCCTTCCGTGACTCAGCTGTTTGCTAATTTGCGGAAGTGTGTAGATCTGAGTCAGCCTTATGCAGTCTCACCATAGGGTGAGAACAGGACTTTTGGTTCCACACCACATTATAAATGTAGCTGTGAAAGGTGGCCACTAATGCAGTCTGAAAGCACTGGAGCCCCTGTTCGATGAACTCTTGTCACACACTGTCCACACTGATGAATCAGGACTGCTCACTCAGATACCTGGGGAATGGCAGGCTAACCAAGAGTTCAGCTCCAGACAGCTGTCAATCATATCAGCTGCCATGGCTCCAAGCTCCAGCTCTCTGACTCATCAAATGAGTCCCAGGGTCTCGTGGAGCGCCCTTACATAGACCCGACTTTTCAGGACACTTTCTCCAGGAAGGATCCTCTTCTCTGAGTCACAGTGGCCCTATTCCGGCACGTTCCGAGTGATGCTGAGGGAGGCAGCAAGGGTGCTGGACCAAGGCCTCCTCTTTGTTTTTCTCTCTGAGTGCATTCAGGGAAGGACAGGTTTGCAATGGTCCTCAAGGCCTCACTTTGTTTTGTTTATGAATCATCATTAAGAATGATGACACCCGTGTAAAGACTTAAAACCAGCATACAATGTCACATAATTTTCAAACAATGCTATGATGTTCTCCAGGCTTAGCAGCAGTGTCGCTGCAGCCTACGATCTAAAAACACTTCTACAAACAGAGAGTGAAGGGTCACTGAGAAGGCTCAGTGGACAAAGGCACCTGCGACCAAATTTGAGTTCAATCTCCAGAATCCACATGGCGTCCCTCAAGCTGTGTCTAACCTCTACATGCACACTCAAACACACACAACAAAAACAAATACGTGTCAAGAAAAATCCAAACCCTGAAAATGGTGCTAATACAAGATTCCTAAAGAGAATTTCGAGACTATGGGTTTGGATGAAGGCTCTGGTGAACTCTACAGCCAATTACTAAATTATTAAATATATCCCAGGACCTCTATATAGTCTATAAAGTACTGCTGGGAGGACCAAATAGATCATAGTCAGTTAACTACTGAGCCCAATACTTAGCACTTCTTTACATTTTTGTTTAGTAAACATAATTTTTCAGGATGAAAACATACACATTTATGTGTTAACTTTTATGCATCTAGTTGTGTAAAAATGAACAAACCCTTTTGGGCTGATTGAAGCAGAAAAGAAAAAAATACTGATTATCTTTTAAGAGCATTTAGGGACAGGAGGTCTGAGTCCACTATTTCAGCTTCAAACAAGGTAAGGCCGTGTGACAACACACACACAGGATGGAACATGCACACTGACAGGGCACAGCCATGGATATTCTAGTCATTTTTGTCTTGAATCAGGGAAAATGGCAATGTCAAAGACAACTAAAGCAGAACATGGGGTGGGCGCTCAGTCTCAGGAGTGACTAAGCCCAGTCCCGTGAGTGCAGAACACGCGCGTAACCCACCTTTCTCTTCCTGGGAATGGGCTCATCGAAGAGCAGGTTGCTGGCCTCAGCCTCATCAATGCCATCATCAGGTGGCGCGGGGCTACGGAAGGGCTTGAAGCTGTCAGCGGACAATGGCGGCGAGGGCGTGGACGGGTTGGACTGGTCGCTGGGAGCACTCCAGCTCCAATAGCCGCTGCTGCTGCTGCTGGAGGGTGCGCCCTCCTTCCAGGACCCGCTGAGACCCTCTGTGAGCACAGGGGACAGCGAGTAAGGGCCCATGCTGCATGCAGTAACACACAGAGGCTGTAAGCAGGAAGCTCTCACCCATCCCAGTCACGTGGCAGTTTTTAAACAGCTGTTTTAGCAACAATGCAACATGGCTGTCGGGGCTCTCTGATGTGTGTGTTTTATTGTGCAGTACCCTTTCCTCGGGATTGGTGGAGATTAAACAAAAACAAGAAAATAACAGTTATTTCTTGTTCACCAACAGCGGCCTCTGGGTTTGCTGGCTGCAAGGCTTCTGCATGTGGTATCTTACCTAGTCACCAAGTTGCTCCCTCTGGTTCCAATTCCCCCCTTAAAAAAAAAAGGCATTACCCACTGACTACGGTTCTTGGGATGTATGTCTAAGAAATCAGATTAGACTTCAGACTTTCAGAAATGGCGTTTTCCAGATCGGTAGAGCGACTTCCCAGTGCTGAGCAAACAAGTAACAGCATCTTCCACTCTGGCTGCTTTTATGCCCTTAACCTTCATTTTCAAAGTTAGTGTATAAAATAATGGGCTTTATAATGGCATTTCCACACATCTGTGTCATTACACCTCATTCCAAGTCTCCCCCTTCCATCTGGCCCCTCTTCTAGTCCCTTCCTTCACACTTAATTGCTCCCAAACTTCTGCGTTCACACTGTGCATTCCAATTCCTTCTACTGAATGGAGCTCATCGGCAGTTTCACCTGTCACTCAGAAGAGCATCCCCATTTGACAGTGGCACAGGAAGTTCATCTACCTGCTGCTCGCTAACTGGTAAGTGACCCTGGGCAGCCGAGGCCAGGACCTGGTTTGCTAGAGGCGCTTGGTCCTCCAGAGCATCCTCTTTTCTCTGGTCGAGCTGGATCGCATCTGAATTTATTGGCAGTCCCTACTGACTGAACTGTGCTCAGCTGAACTGTAGGAAGTCTGATGCAGAGATCTCTTCCTATAGCATCAGAGGAGGGGACTTTTAACCACTGTAGATTACCTTTATCTTTCAAGATGTCCAAGCTTGATTAGCATTTATGTAAATTCTACTTTCTTTCTAGATAATCCTTTTCCATATTTATGTTCATTGTGAATATATTCAAACTCTAGTTGTGAGGGAAGAGGAAGTCCCAAAATGCTTCATTAAAAATCCTACTAATGTCTGTGTAGTTGCTAATGAAGCAAAAATGAATAGCAGATTAGTATTTGTAGAGAAATCATTACCCTTATCTAGTTACAGAATTCCAGAAAGTTACTCAGCTACATCAAGCAAAAAGTTTAGTACAAGTCGTTAAGTTTGGATTGAAGTAGCAGTTGCCCACTTTATGACGGTAAGACTCTGGCGAATTAAATGGTCTTTTTGCATGCTTGCACCTGCTGGCATCACAAGGCCAGCCTGGTATTTCCTCCCTGACGCAGAGAGGTGGATGCACACAGCAGACTGCAGTACTCTCGTACCACAAGACAGCCATTGGTCCTGCAGCGAGTGTGCTCACAGCCTCCACAGAGACTCGCACAACAAAACCAGGTGCTGGGTGTGGTCACAGGACGAGGAGGAATGAACTGCTTTTGAGAACTAGCTACTGTCACGGTGTGCTACATGACTTGGACCTTTGAGGATGTATTTGTCTTGTTTCCTGGGCTGTTAGCTCCTTGCAGAACTACCTCTTCACAGGAAGACTCCTCAGTCACAGAGAAGGAGCACAGCAGGTACCCCAAACTCACTGACACCTGAAGACCTGAATTCTGGAGAATGGCTTTCATCCTCTTAAAAACTAATGGATTTATTATTGTAAATTTTTTTCCTTCCTTAAAAATTTGCTTCCTTTTGCAAATCAAAGATATCAGATTCAGTAGTTGCATAGTATTTTTTTTAAAAAATATTTTATTTATTTTGAGGCAAGGTCTCTCTATGTGGGCCAGGCTGGCCTCATTAATTCAGAGATCCATCTGCTTTTGCCTTTTCAGTGCTGAGATTAAAGGCGTTTGCCTTCACACCTCGCTAAGTAGTTATTTTTTAAAACCATAAACGAACACTGGCATATTCTATTGCTGTGCTAAAGAAGTGCATATTGACATATGAAAAGGTTTATTTTAATTTTAACCTTTAAATACAAAGGAAGAGTAGAAATGTTCTCGAAAAAAGAATCATATAGCAAAATAGTGATTAATTTAAGAATATCCTTTTCCCTGTTATTCCTAGAATATTTTGGGCTACCCCAGTTTTCCTCTCCGGCAATGCTGCCTGGCCGAGAAAGGCAACTCTGGGTGTTCATTTGCCAAGAGGCTCCCAAGGGCCAGACCACTAAGCAGGAATGGTCATGGCACCTCAGCATGTGCTTCTGCAGTGTCTAAGTTCATCTATGTACACATCTATATTTAAAAACACTTATGTACACACACACAAACACGAATGCAGCCTGACTTCCTAACTCTAACTCCCACTGTCTGGACGGATCACTTCAGCAGCTTGCTCAAGTCTCAGAAGACAGACTTCCAGCCAGACATACAGGACCTGTCTCAGTGAAGCTCCTAGTGTCCTCCACCCAACTTTGTCTTCCACCGTCTGCTTTCCCAATTTATCACAAGGATTAAATGAAGCAGCTATCACACCACGATTAGGAAGGCAGATCTGGAATCGGGAAGATGGGAACCAGAAATGTAGTTCTACCTCCTACAAGCCAATTAGCCCACACATACCTTGGTTTACCTATCTGTAAAACAGTGATAATAATAGCATCTCATATGCTTGCTGGTAGAAATACAATGAAATAAAGCAAGCAGAATACTCAGCAGATAATTAAGTCAGTGCTTAATTAATATGCTATTAATGAGGCCATGACTGAGTCTTTTCCAAAAGAGACTGTATAAATAGTATGGACACTATTTATACTCTATTGTGGTGTAGGAGGGTCTTCTGTCTATGTGTTATTCATTGTTATTTCATTGGTCAAATAGAGAAACTGCCTTGGCTTTTTGATAGGGCAGAATTTAGATAGGTGGAGTAGACAGAACACAATGCTGGGAGAAAGAAAGCAGAGTCAGGGAGACGCCATGGCTCTCCTCTCTGAGACAGACGCTGGTTAGACTCATGCCGGTAAGCCACAGTCAAGTGGCAATACAGATTATTAGAAATGGGTTGAATCAATATGTGAGAGTTAGCCAATACGAGATTAGAACTAATAGGCCGAGCAGTGTTTAAATGAATACAGTTTCCATGTAATTATTTTGGGTAAAGCTAGCTGGGAGCCGGCCTGCTGCTCCTTTTACAACACTATTGTTACATTCAAATCATCTAGGTGGTACCTAGTATATACTGAACTCAAGACTGGACTAAATAATTCTCTGGTTATGAAGTGTGGGATGATGCTTTTACAGACTGCTGGATCTTCAGTGAGTTTGATGATCCAACTATCTTCCAATCAGAAAGAAATTATGTGAGGAAAATAAGTTCATTAGACTACTCTTCATTTGCCTGGGGAAAAGGAACGTAAGTACTGCACAGATGCGTCCTTGGAAGGCAGCAAACACGTGACAGAACTCAGTAAATGTGAGCTGCCCGGGTGAGGACTTGAGGTCTTAGGAGGCCCAGAGTCGCCATTTCCCCCCATTTCCTCTGATTTGAAATAACTTCCGGTTTGGGAGGAAAGAGGTCCCCAGGAGAGGCCTGGCTCTTTCTCAGAGCGCACACCCTAGGCTTACCATTGGGCCGCACGGGAGGGCTTCGGACCAAAGGGCTAGTTGACAAGCTGGTTAGTACCATGGCTGCGGTCACCTTGTCCATGTCCAGCTCCTCTGAAGACTTTCTGTAAAACAGGAAGAAGTGCTGTCTGTCTGTGCTCACTCTACCCGCGGTCAAGCAAGAAATGACAGGCTGCCACGGTTACTCCTGAACGTATCCTCAGGAAAACCAATGTTCTGCTAGTGGATTTCTAAGTAAGGGGTCAAGCAGTACAATCAAAGCCACATACAGCAGGAAGAAAGGGAGCCTTATTCAGCGTTTGTCCAGCAGCTGTCTACTGAGTGTGCAGATGACCCAGGCAGACGTCGCTGCGGGCACCAGTGACACGCAATGAATAACCGACAGGAATAAAGAAGCTCTGACAGTGGCAGGCGCTATGAGGAGTATTAGCGTCCACATAACAGTGCCTGAGCATCTCTGAGGAGTGACTGCGGGGTGATGGGAGGCTGGGGAGGGCTCAGTTCTGGGAGTGGAGAGATGTGTAGTTACAGCAGCCTGAGGTACAGCAGATGAGCTCTCCAGAGAGAGAGGAGAGAGGCGCAAGCTGTGTCCACTGGGCCCTGTGTCCACGGAACGTTCGCCTTTACTCTACGTGGAGATGAGTTCCTGAACCCATGACTAATACAACGGCTGAGCTGGCATCATGCAGAGCACAGGTCAGGAAGCGCAGATGAAAGAAATGGGTACCCAGGGGCAGTGGCTGGTGACTCTGTGGGACTGGTGGGAGAGACCAAAACGGTGGTGTCTGGATTGGATATTCCCTAGAGCCTCCACTGAGATGACAGCAACTAGGCGAGAAAACCATCCAAGGTGTTTAAACCCAAGGGTCCCTCCCGTCTTCTCTCTCTCTCTCTCTCTCTCTCCCAGTCTGTCTGTCTGTCTGTCTGTGTGTGTGTGTGTGCACGCGCGTGTGTGGGAGGAGGTGGGGGGGGGGGGGTTGCATGCGTGCATGCATGTGGAGGCTCCAGGCTGAGGCTGGGAATCTTCCTGCACCGCTCCCCCCTTTCCCACTGAGGCGGCAGGACTAGCCAGTGCTTCCCACCTGCACCCTCTAAGGCTGGAATCACGGGCGAGCACCTGGCCTTTGGCTGGATTTCTGGGCACCACTGAGCAGCCTCCTCAGCCTTCAATCTTTCTCATTCCATTCTCTGCCCTCCTCAAGGAAGAGCAGGGCATGGGAACGGCAACGGTTATGGTAATCACTGAGGCAGACAGAAAGGTTGCTCTGGTTTAATTCTGGGCAGCCAAGTAAAGCAGCTGTCACGGTGACTAGAGTCAGCTTGTGTGAGCTTGTTTCCACGGAGAAGCTACAACCGAGAGGCAAAAATGTATGTAGTGCATCGACACAAAGTAAACGACACCACCTCCCGGAGAGGAACATTTTCCAGTTAGGGAGCAGTCGAAGAAGCCCAGCAGAGGACTACTGAGCCACATCTGCAGGTGGACTGTCACTCTGACAGATGCGGCTTCCCTTCACAGCTGTGCTGCAGGACTTGCGAGAGCAGCGAACTCTAGACCTCAGAACCTCACAGCACTGCTTCACAATGGATGGAAAAGAAATTCTTCCACTGAGAAAAGCCAAACAGTTCTTTACTAGTGTGTGTGTGTTGGCGGG